TATGTGGGAGTTAAGTTATGGCATCGAAAGAATTGATAAAGGAAAATGTCTAGGAGACATCTGCATTGCAACAGGTTTGGAGAATGTACATAATCTAAATATAAATGAGTGATATGCCAATCTACCGTGTACATATGGCTTCAATTAGCAGGAAGAAATCAGCTCTGGGTCTTTGTTTGTCAACCAGATTTGAAATCGTTGTAATGTACCTTGGTTCCATTTTAATAACCCTAAACGATTTAGATGTTTCCATGGATCGATCTATTACATTGATGAGATAATATAGAATGTGTGTCAAACCAGAATATTTACGTTGTCGTTTTTTTCATTAAGAACGCCACTGATCCAAGAGGATATCAAACAAATTGTGAGGGAACGAATTTAATATGTTGACTGTAACTTCCCATAAATCGACCGTCAGGTGGACGAAATTCGTGAAAAAGGAATTACTCAAGTCTGTCTCTCCTTGGAGCTCTCCACTTGTTATGGTAAAAGAAGGATGGATCACATAAATTTTGTGTTGATTTTCGTAAAGTTAATTAAGTCACTAAAGTGGGTAGCTTTCCAATGCCTTTTGATGCTGATGCCCTTGATTCTTTAGCCGACACAAGTGTATTTTCCACCTTGGATCTCAAAAGTGGTTTTTGGCGAATAGAAATGTATCCCAACTCAAGGAGAAAAGACTGCTTTTGCTACACATAGTGGTCTTTATAAATTCTTAACCATGCCGTTTGGTGCGAGTTGCTCGTAAACCCCCACATATTTCAGTTGAAACACCATGTGGAAGCAACATGCAGTCAACAGGTTCAGTGCTCCAAGAGTGGAATAAAAAGAGAAAAAGCAGGCACAGAATATCATTGCGACATCTCCGGCAAGACTTTTGACCGCTCAGACAACTTAAATACACATAGCAGCATTCACACCGAGAGAAACCATTCGAATGCACCCGCTGTTATAAGGCGTGTTCGGACAAATCTGCTCTCAATCGTCACCTGAAAGCCCACAACAAGCGAGCTGCCGAATGAACTTTACCTGGGCAACCTGTGGAGAAACCTTTCATAACTGCGCACCTTACAACACATGTCCGCACTGCTCATCAACAACACAACAAGCAAACAGCCACAAACGTAGCCCTACGACTTACACATGCATACACCTCCAATGATGCCAGGAAGATGATAAACATCATAAGTGAGCAAAACCCATTTGACAATCAACCAAGAAAAAACCTTAAGTAAATAAAAGTTTTCCTTCTATATCCAATAACTCACTAAATCAGCTCCACGTATTTGCTTTGCACTTGGTTAACACAACACAAGAACCGCCTGGAGTTTGTCTGAATTTACCATTCTATTCTATTTTTTTCTCCCTCAGATTTATCCAGATGGACAGTTACTTGAATGATGCCAGCTTAAATCTTTGCAATCAATGCTAGATCCAAGCAAAGCTTCAAAACATCATCTGGACGTCAATACGGATAAGAACAAACTTTCCAAATCATTCCATGCAGAGGCGGTTGTTGCATTTGAAAAAACTAACGATATTCCCTGTGCCATCGTGATGTTGAAGACCCTCGATGACCTTTCTTTAATGGAACCTCTACCTCCATTAGCAATTCACAGGGACATCTCACACACCACCCGTAAAACTATGTGGGAGTTAAGTTATGGCATCGAAAGAATTGATAAAGGAAAATGTCTAGGAGACATCTGCATTGCAACAGGTTTGGAGAATGTACATAATCTAAATATAAATGAGTGATATGCCAATTTACCGTGTACATATGGCTTCAATTAGCAGGAAGAAATCAGCTCTGGGTCTTTGTTTGTCAACCAGATTTGAAATCGTTGTAATGTACCTTGGTTCCATTTTAATAACCCTAAACGATTTAGATGTTTCCATGGATCGATCTATTACATTGATGAGATAATATAGAATGTGTGTCAAACCAGAATATTTACGTTGTCGTTTTTTTCATTAAGAACGCCACTGATCCAAGAGGATATCAAACAAATTGGGGGGGACGAATTTAATATGTGGACTGTAATTTCCCATAAATCAACCGTTGGGTGGACGAAATTCGTGAAAAAGGAATAACTCGAGTCTGTCTCTCCTTGGAGCTCTCCAGTTGCTATGGTAAACAAGAAGGATGGATCACATAAATTTTGTATTGATTTTCGTAAAGTTTATAAAGTCACTAAAGTAGGTAGCTTTCCAATGCCTTTCGACGCTGATGCCCCAGACTCTTTAGCTAACACAAGTGTATTTTCCACCTTGGATGGATCTCAAAAGTGGTTTTTGGCAAATAGAAATGTATCCTAACTCAAAAAAAGACTTCTTTTGCTACACATAATGGTCTTTATGAATTCTTAATCATGCCGTTTGGTGCAAGTTGCTAGTACACCCCCCACATATTTCAGTTGAAACACCATGTGGAAGCAACATGCAGTCAACAGGTTCAGTGCTCCAAGAGTGGAATAAAAAGAGAAACAGCAGGCACAGAATATCATTGCGACATCTCCGGCAAGACTTTTGACCGCTCAGACAACTTAAATACACATAGCAGCATTCACACCGGAGAGAAACCATTCGAATGCACCCGCTGTTATAAGACGTGTTCGGACAAATCTGCTCTCAATCGTCACCTGAAAGCCCACAACAAGCGAGCTGCGAATGAACTTTACCTGGGCAACCTGTGGAGAAACCTTTCATAACTGCGCACCTTACAACACATGTCCGCACTGCTCATCAACAACACAACAAGCAAACAGCCACAAACGTAGCCCTACGACTTACACATGCATACACCTCCAATGATGCCAGGAAGATGATAAACATCATAAGTGAGCAAAACCCATTTGACAATCAACCAAGAAAAAAACCTTAAGTAAATAAAAGTTTTCCTTCTATATCCAATAACTCACTAAATCAGCTCCACGTATTTGCTTTGCACTTGGTTAACACAACACAAGAACCGCCTGGAGTTTGTCTGAATTTACCATTCTATTCTATTTTTTCTCCCTCAGATTTATCCAGATGGACAGTTACTTCGGAATGATGCCAGCTTAAATCTTTGCAATCAATGCTAGATCCAAGCAAAGCTTCAAAACATCATCTGGACGTCAATACGGATAAGAACAAACTTTCCAAATCATTCCATGCAGAGGCGGTTGTTGCATTTGAAAAAAACTAACGATATTCCCTGTGCCATCGTGATGTTGAAGACCCTCGATGACCTTTCTTTAATGGAACCTCTACCTCCATTAGCAATTCACAGGGACATCTCACACACCACCCGTAAAACTATGTGGGAGTTAAGTTATGGCATCGAAAAGAATTGATAAAGGAAAATGTCTAGGAGACATCTGCATTGCAACAGGTTTGGAGAATGTACATAATCTAAATATAAATGAGTGATATGCCAATCTACCGTGTACATATGGCTTCAATTAGCAGGAAGAAATCAGCTCTGGGTCTTTATTTGTCAACCAGATTTGAAATCGTGTAATAATGTACCTTGGTTCCATTTTAATAACCCTAAACGATTTAGATGTTTCCATGGATCGATCTATTACATTGATGAGATAATATAGAATGTGTGTCAAACCAGAATATTTACGTTGTCGTTTTTTTCATTAAGAACGCCACTGATCCAAGAGGATATCAAACAAATTGGGGGGGAACGAATTTAATATGTGGACTGTAATTTCCCATAAATCAACCGTTGGGTGGACGAAATTCGTGAAAAAGGAATAACTCGAGTCTGTCTCTCCTTGGAGCTCTCCAGTTGTTATGGTAAACAAGAAGGATGGATCACATAAATTTTGTATTGATTTTCGTAAAGTTAATAAAGTCACTAAAGTAGGTAGCTTTCCAATGCCTTTCGACGCTGATGCCCCAGACTCTTTAGCTAACACAAGTGTATTTTCCACCTTGGATGGATCTCAAAAGTGGATTTTGGCAAATAGAAATGTATCCTAACTCAAAAAAAGACTTCTTTTGCTACACATAATGGTCTTTATGAATTCTTAATCATGCCGTTTGGTGCAAGTTGCTAGTACACCCCCCACATTTTTCAGTTGAAACACCATGTGGAAGCAACATGCAGTCAACAGGTTCAGTGCTCCAAGAGTGGAATAAAAAGAGAAAAAGCAGGCACAGAATATCATTGCGACATCTGCGGCAAGACTTTCGACCGCTCAGACAACTTAAATACACATAGCAGCATTCACACCGGAGAGAAACCATTCGAATGCACCCGCTGTTATAAGGCGTGTTCGGACAAATCTGCTCTCAATCGTCACCTGAAAGCCCACAACAAGCGAGCTGCGAATGAACTTTACCTGGGCAACCTGTGGAGAAACCTTTCATAACTGCGCACCTTACAACACATGTCCGCACTGCTCATCAACAACACAACAAGCAAACAGCCACAAACGTAGCCCTACGACTTACACATGCATACACCTCCAATGATGCCAGGAAGATGATAAACATCATAAGTGAGCAAAACCCATTTGACAATCAACCAAGAAAAAACCTTAAGTAAATAAAAGTTTTCCTTCTATATCCAATAACTCACTAAATCAGCTCCACGTATTTGCTTTGCACTTGGTTAACACAACACAAGAACCGCCTGGAGTTTGTCTGAATTTACCATTCTATTCTATTTTTTTCTCCCTCAGATTTATCCAGATGGACAGTTACTTCGGAATGATGCCAGCTTAAATCTTTGCAATCAATGCTAGATCCAAGCAAAGCTTCAAAACATCATCTGGACGTCAATACGGATAAGAACAAACTTTCCAAATCATTCCATGCAGAGGCGGTTGTTGCATTTGAAAAAACTAACGACATTCCCTGTGCCATCGTGATGTTGAAGACCCTCGATGACCTTTCTTTAATGGAACCTCTACCTCCATTAGAAATTCACAGGGACATCTCACACACCACCCGTAAAACTATGTGGGAGTTAAGTTATGGCATCGAAAGAATTGATA